AGATCCCTGGATCAGGAAGATCCCCTGTAGAAGTAATGGCTACCCACTCCAGTAATCTTGCCTGGAGAATTCCATGGACGGAGAAGCCTGGCAGGCTACAGTCCATGGGGTCACAAAGAGTCTGACACGACTGAGCAACTAACATACTTACTGACTGATAGCTAATTTACAATGTTATGTTAGTTCCAAGTGTATAGCAAAGTGATTCATATATATTCCTTTTCAGATTCTTTTCCATCACAGGTTAGTACAAGATATTGAGTATAGTTCCCTGTGCTGCACAGTAGGTTCTTGTTTGCCGAGTTTATACACAGTAGCGTGTATCCCAGACTCCTATTTGTCTCTCTCCCCTGCCCCCAACCCTTTGGTAACCATGTTTGTTTTCTGTCTGTGAGTCTATTTCTGTTTTGTAAATAAGTTCATTTGTATCATTTTTTAGAGTTCACATATCATTTATCCTTCTCTGTCTGATTTAGTATAATAATCTCTAGGTCCCTCTATTATGCTGCAAATGGCATTATTTCATTCTTTTTTTTGGGGGTACACTTTTTTGGGGGTACACTTTTTTTGTCATTCTTTTTTTTATAGCTGATAATACCACCTCTTCCTTATCCATTCATCTATCGATAGACACTTAGATTACTTCCATGTCTTGGCTATTGTAGCATATTGTTATTAAGGAAATTTTAAAAAATATTTTTATTTGGCTGCATAGGGTGTTAGTTGTGGCACGTGGGATCTAGTGCCCCGACCAGGGATCGAACCCAGGCCCCCTGTATTGGGAGTGCAGACTCTTAGCTGCTGGACCACCAGGGAATTCCCTATCAAGGTAATATTGATTTACCATTACTGTGTGCCAGATACTGAGTGGCTTATTTCATCCTCACAGTGATCCTATGTGACAAAAGGGGTACTGTTGTCCACCCCCACACCCCCTTCACAGATAAGTGTAGAAAGGCACAGAGAAGTTTCTTGACTAAAGTCACACAGCACACCCTAACAAGTGCCACACTTATTAACACAACATATTACTGTCCCTACAGGCAGAGCTGGGTTCAGTTCAGTTCAGTTCAGTTGCTCAGTTCTGTCCGACTCTTTGTGACCCCTTGAACTGCAGCACACAATGCCTCCCTGTCCATCACTAACTCCCAGAGTTTACTCAAACTCATGTCCACTGAGTCAGTGATGCCATCCAACCATCTCATCCTCTGCCGTCCCCTTCTCCTCCCGCCTTCAATCTTTCCCAGCATCAGGGTCTTTTCAAATGAGTCAATTCTTCACATCAGGTGGCCAAAGTATTGGAGTTTCAGCTTCAGCATCAGTCCTTCCAATGAATATTCAGGACTGATTTCCTTTAGGATGGACTGGTTGGATGTCCTTGCAGTCCAAGGGACTCTCAAGAGTCTTCTCCAACACCACAGTTCAAAAGCATCAATTCTTCGGCGCTCAGCTTTCTTCATAGTCCAATTCTCATATCCATACATGACTACTGGAAAAACCATAGCTTTGACTAGACAGACCTTTGTTGGCAAAGTAACGTCCATGCTTTTTAATATGCTGTCTAGATTGGTCATAACTTTTCTTCCAAGAGCTGGGTTAGGACAGAACATTCTGGGTATTTCTGAAAGAAAGATCCCTACCCAGGGCCATGTCATTTATGGGGATCAATGTCCACCACAGTATGATGGGGAGGGAGGAGAGAGGAATAGAACTCAGTCTGGCTCTTGCCTCTTACTCAGAGCCTGCCTGGGGCCCGGCTGAGCCAGGCTGCACAAGGCCTCCCACTGCAGCTCCCAGTGAGTTCCTCCAGCCTTGGCAGAGGCTCCCCAGGCCTGACATGTGTGCCACCCCGAGACTGCGGCTGGGTGTGGGGTCTTAAGACCTGCATAGTTGGGTCCTGACTCAGCCCCAGTGTCCCCTATGACTTGGCCTTTCTACCCCTCTGGGCTTCAGCTGCCTTCTCGGAGAATTGAGCGGGTGGACCAGCTGACCTCCGAGGCCCTTCAAGCTGGGCCCTTGTTGGGCGCACAATCAGCTCCTTCTTTAGCAAATGGGCCGGGGAGGCTCAAGCCAGTAGTAAGACACTGCAACTGTGCTGCTCTTGGGAAGCCCCAGATGGAATCTGGCATGGACTTTAGAAGGACCCACTGTCTGCCTGAGGCTTCTGGGCCTCCCTGCCCTCATGCCCCTGTATGTCTGAGCACACGTGCACACACATGCCCGCACTGCCCACCCACTGCCAGAGTGCTGAACAGAAGGTGTTGTCATTGTCCACGACCTCCTGCCTCTAGACAAGACCAGGCCCCTGTCTGCTCAGTCTGGGGCCCCACTGGGCTTCTACCCCCAACCGACCTCACCCACCAGGAATGCTGGGGCCCTTGGAGCCATGGTGCCTGCTGACCGCAGGGCCTGGTGTTCTTGGCCCAAGCTGGGACCGCCCACCTCCAGGCCGCTCAGCCCATCCCCATCTGCCGGAAGGAGCATAGAAAGATGTCATGAAAAAACACTGGGGATCCAGAAGCAGATTCCAGAGGCCCTCTAGACTTAGACTCTGCCCAGGAGCCTCACTTTCCCACTGGGGAGACACGGGGCAGGGAGTAGAGCAGATATTCTCCTACAGCATACCAGGGATGTGGGTAATGTTGCTGGATTTAAGAAATAAAAATACAGGACACTCAGTTAAATTAGAATTTCAGATAACAACTAAATTTTAGTTTAAGCGTGTCCCAAATATTGCATGGGACATATTTATTTATCCTAAAACGCTATTCACTGTTAATGTGGAATTCAAATTTAACTGGCATCCTGTACTTTGTCTGGCAATCCTACATCTGTGTCAGTGGACACCAGAGGGAAGCAATCCCACCCTCCTGCCCTCCTCCTGCTTCTCCTCAGGGGGCCAACCTGCCTGGTCCCTTCACCGTTTCAGCCTCCTACGTCTACCCCTGAAGGTCCTGCATGCCCTTCTTAGCATCCTCATTCCACTCCCTAGGATACCCTTCTGCCTAAGCTCACCCATCTTCCTCTATCCTAAAGGCTACACCTCTGTCAGGCTCCAGGCCTGGGCAGAGCGGCAGGAGGTTCCCGGCAGATACCTCAGGTCTTGGGTGTTGGAGCAACAGGGCCCTGGATGCCCAAGTTAGCAACTCACTAAGGAAGCAGCAGCGTGGGTGCTGGGGGGAGAAGGCTCCAGAACCCTCTGCACTAAGTCTCCTTTGGCCGAGGAGTGGGCTAGGTCCATAGCCAACTGCTGGGGGAGGAGGAAAGACACGCTGCTCCATGCCCCCACTCCCCATTCCCTTCTCCAAGATCAATCAACAGGAACTGCAAATAGAGATGGCATTCTCTGGGGCCAGACCCCAATTCCACTTGGATCAGAGACTGGAAGATTCTGTCCTTCGGGGCCAAGAGATAATGAGAAACAGAGACAGAGAAAAGAGACCAAGGAGAGAGAGATACACCGAGAGAGATCAGGAGAGTCAGTGAGACACAGACACAGGACCAAACCAGAGGCAAGGGAAATAGAAACAGACAGAAAAACAGACTCCTTCACTAAGACAGACAGAGATTAACAAAGAGGAGAAACAGAGATGGGAAAACAGGGAACGCGGAGAAATGGAGAGAAACTGCATGGAGACAGAGACAGGGAGAAACTGAAACAGGCAGACAGAGACTGGGAGAAACACGGCAGAGCAAGGAGGGGTTAAACAGAAGACAGAGATAACTGGACTGGGAGAGATGAGAAACAGATAAGGAGAAAGCCTGGAGAGAAAAAAGGACAAGCCAAAGGAGGACGGCTGTCCTTTCCTACTAGGTTGGGGCTAGTTTTCAGGGGCGAAGTCAGACTTGAGACACAGCAGGAACTTCTAAACACCTAAGAACTGATCCTCTCCAGGATCCCTCCCTCTTTCCCCAAGTCTAGGAACGGCACCCCAAAGACCATCTCCATTTCGCCCCTACCCCAGGGTTCCGGGCTCCATCTCTCCAACTCCCGCAAGGTTTCCTTACGTCTCATCTGTGTTTGGGCGTCTGGCTCTCCCCTCTGCCGATCGCCCACCGAGACGGTCTCCCACCCGACCCTCCAGCCTGGTCCCCCGGGGAGAGAGTTCGGGGAGACCCAGCCCAGGTCCCCGCCCCGCTCCGCCTGGCTCCTGGAAATTCCGCGTTGAGCGATGCTGCCACCTGCCGGCCGGATCTGGAAAGCACAACGCGCCTCCGGGCTGGGCGTGCTGGCGGGTCGGAATCCAGCCCCTGCAGGCCAGGTCCGCGGCCTCGGGGGATCTTTCTAGGAATCCGGGTGGGCCTGCTCGCCCGCGCCCCGGCTCGCCTGGCTCTGCGGACTCAGCTCTGCGGACTCAGGGACTAGTTTCAAAATCCCGGGGCCTCAATTTCCCCTGTAGTCAAATGGAGGAAATGTACCAACGCCTCCTCCCTGGATTTCAAGGAGGGTGGGGGCGGGGCAAGACTGTACCAGTTCTCTACTCCTGGTTCTCCTTCCCCAGAAATCAAGCAGGCCGCCCCTCCCTCTCTTCTCGTCAAAACAAAACAAAACAAAAAGTGGCACCTCCCTCCGTTACAATCCCCTCAATCCACTCCAAGGCCTTCGCTTCCGCTCTCCCTCTGCCCCCCAGAAATCCGTGTGGGAAGGGAGGGACTTCCAGGGGTCCCGCTCGCTCGGCCTGCAGCCCCTCTCCATCTCAAGCTTGGGACCTCTTAGAGGGTGGAGCAGTTAGGGGTTGGGAAGGGGTAGCTCAGCAGTCTTGAACTGACAGCACAATATATATATTCTTAAAATCAGATTATCTTTTCTAACTCCCATTTCCCAATCCAGACTTCTTCCTCCTCCCCCTCCTTTTCCCGGGTCGGGCCCTTCCCTGGTGCATTAGCTCCGCCCCCATCCCGAGGTGGGGCCCTATAGGTGGAGAGTCGTGGGAGAGGTCGCGGCCCCGCCTCTCTCCTCCTTCCCCTACACACGGAAGTTCAGTGGCCCCCAAGCAAGAATGTCTGACACCTGGGTCGCCAGCCTCTTGCTGCTTAGCCTGCTGGCCAGCCTCCAACAGGTGAGCGCTTGGGAGGTAAAACTGTGGAACTTTCAAGCTCCTGTTCTCATGGGTCAGGGGCTTGCTTCTGACTCCCGATCACCACCTTCCATTGTCAGGATCTCCTCGTGACCACAGGCAGTTAGCAACTCCTTTCTCTTTTTCGCCGGGCAAGTAATAGGTAGAAGACGCGGTGGGAGGTCCTGAGAAGGTCTGGGTTCCTTCACCCAGTGGGGAACTGTGTCGTGGGACCTATTCCCGCACACCGCTGTCTGACATCTAGCGCCTCTCTCAGAGTGTTAGCCTTGACTCGCCCTTCTGGCTCCTTCCCGCAGCGTCAGAAAGCGGGAACCTGAGGTCTGGACTGAGATCTGGACGTCTCGCCAGCTTGTCTCCCCAGCTCCATTCTTGCCAGTGTTGGGTGACCTTGGGGGAAGTCCTGGCCTTCTCTGGGACTGTGTATCTGTGCTTGTGCCCTAGAGAAAAGGAGGCTCCCTCTTCCCTTTCTAGGAGTGGGGGTAGGATTCTAGCAGGTGATAGGATTTGATCTGGCTGCCTGACCCAAGGCTGGGATGATCTCTGAAATCTGTGATTTCCAAGAGTAAGGCAGGGTGTCAGCACCCCCACATTCTTCTCTCCCCCCAGCCTGGGGGAAGGGCAGTCTATCTGGTTCTGGGATGGGAGATTATCCTGGAAACTGACATGGCTCTAGAATATGGATTTTTAACCTCTATGAGAGTCTGAGGGAAGGGCCAGACCAGTTCCCCCACAGCATTCACTAACTGTGCAGCGACTTCACCCCAAAAGCCCTGCTTCTCCTTCTCCATCACATGCAGTGGGTTTGTGCCAGCACTAAGCTGTGCATCCTCTTGTTGATTTCTCCTAACAACTCCATGGGGCAGGCTGTTAATGCCCTCGGTTCACATGTAAATTAAGTTGAAGTTGCCCAGAATTGCCCCAACATTTGATACCACCTCAGTGAAGATCACCCCCTGTTTAAGAAGTGGCTGAAGGGGAGAGAATCTGGGAGAGGATCCCCTGCTCCTCCAAACAGGAGCTCAAGATTAATTCATTAAATCTGCTGGCTTTTTCTCAGTTGGGGGCCAGGAGAGGGGGAGGCACAGGGGCTAGGATGAGGGGAAGTGGGTATGCTGAGTGCCTGGACCCCTTGGTCCATCTCTGCCATCACCTCACCCTCTCTGGGCCAACTTGCAGGGGTTCTTTCCTGCTCCTGACCCTACTGGCCAAGGCTTGAGAGAAGGAGGTGTGCACATGGGACTGAGCACAGAAAAGGGGGGATCAGCCCAACTGTTATTGGCTGTCATTGGTATTCTAAGCTTCATTGTTGTTGTTGTCGTTAGCAATTGAACTGTTATTTCAAGATATAAAGATATCGTGGTCTTGGGACTTCCCTGGTGGTCCAGTAGTTAAGACTTCCAACTTGCACTGCAAGGGGCACAGGTTCAATCCCTGGTCAGGGAACTAAGATCCCTATATGCTGCGTGACCCTCCCCCAACCCCAAAAGAAAGAGATATAGTGGTCTCATAAAAAAACGTTGGCTCCTTGTTCTTGAGCTGTGGTTTTTTATCCCCCTGGAGGCTGGGATGGGGTGGCAGATAACCTCCCTTTAGCTGTGTTCCTCTGCTTGCTTTCCTTCCTCCCCCCACTGCCTGGGAGCAACCAGGATGAAATGAAACCAGGTTGTCAATGAATGTTCTTTCATTCATTCTGCCAAAATCGTGAGTATTGGTTTTCAACAGACGAAAATCCCTTCCCTGGTGGAGTTTTCTACTGAGGAGACAAACAACTAGCAAGATAAAGTAAAATACGTAGTATGTTAGATGTTGACAGGAGCTATGCCGAGAACGTAAGCACAGTTAGGGGAAAAGAAGTGCTTTGTGAGAGGAGATGTAATTTTAAAGAAGATGGTCAGAGAAGGTGCTGGAGCCAGCCTCTCAGATTCCTGGGAAGAGAGCACTCCAAGCAGGGCTTATACACATATTTTTGTGTTAATCAGGTGAATTTCTAAAATGATAGCCACCACGTGGCGCAGAACTAGTGCAGAAGAGGGAGGGAGGGGGGCGCTGTTTCTGGAGAGGAGGGTCCAGCACTTCTCAGAGCCAGGAAGGCCCAGGCTGGGTCTGAAGGATGACTGGGAGTTCAGTGGGCCCTGAAGGCTCAGGGACAAGGGTCTGCCCCTGCAGCCGGGGAACTCCCAGTGGGTGGTGGGTTGGTCCTGGCATCTGGGACCCAGGGAGCCACTGAGGGAAGCTTCCTGCAAGGTTTCTGGTGATCGGACTTGTGGGATAGGAACTTGCCAAGGTGTTGGGAGTGACTTCGGTGGGGGGCTGTGATGGGGTGGGCTGGAAGGGTGGGTTAGTGGTGTGAGCTTACAGACCTAGGGATGAGCAAACGTGGTAGGAGGTGTGATGAGAAGAGGAAGGGGGAGCTAGGGCCACCAGGTGGCAGCTAGGGCTGAACCATTGACCCAGGGAAGATGTGGAGTGAGGTGGAAAGCAGGCTTGAGGAAAAGTGCTGATCCTCTGGGGCTGTGAGGTACCTGGGTAGCATCTGGGTGGAAAACCCAGCCCCCAGTTTATGACCCAAACCTTTGCCTCTTCTCTTCCACAGGCTGCAGCCACATGTGGTCTCTTCTTGTAAGTCTGGGGTTTGGGCTGTAACTTCCATTGTGGGGAGGGGACACCCCAAATCCTGCCCTGCCTGCCTTCATCATCCTCACCCACTCCCCTTCTAGCCAGAAACCATCCCCACCCCCAACCAGAGAGGGGGAGTCCACTCTTCTACCCCCTCACTCCTTCTACCAACCAACCCATGGGCAGTTTCACACTTGGGGGTCACTCCCCATAATGAGTAAGGGCTGAGGGGGGTGATCTCTGGGCAGCAAAGTGTTTCTACCGAGTCCGCCCTGGATGTTCCAGGAACACTGATTCCCTCTTGCCTCCTGTTCTGTGGGCCCCATCATCTCGCCATTCACTTTTGGCCCCTCCCCACTGCCCCTCTCCCCCTGCATCTCTTTAGAGTGATGCTGTAACCACTACAACACTCAATCCCACACCTGTCCAGTAAGGTCAACAGGACATTCATTACACCCATTTTATAGATGAGGAAAGTGAGGCCCAGGAAGGAATGTACCTTGGCAGGAGTGCACAAGGCCAGTAGTGAGATGAACCTGAAACCCAGGTCTCAATCCCAGCCCTAGGTTCCTCCCACTAAGCCCAGAGGAGCCTAGTGGGGCAGCACTAACCCTGCTCTGCCAAAGGTGTGGCTTGTGCCCTGAGCATGCGGGTGGGTTTTAGGGAAGCTAGGATCCTTCTGCCCTCCTCCCCTGCCCCCGCCTTGGTACCAAGAGCCTCTATCCCACCCCACTCCCAGCACCTGCCCTAAGGGATTCAAATGCTGTGGGAGCAGCTGTTGCCAAGAGTACCAGCTGGAGCAGTTCGAGTTCTTCTCCGGTCCCTTAAGGTGAGCCCTGGGCCAGTTCCTCTGGGCACAGTCCTCTGATGGGTCTGGCCTACACAGGACTGGACTGGACTTCCTGCTGTGAAGGGTGGGGGTAGGTCAAGGGAGGGAGGGCGGTGTGGGGTGACTGGAGACTCGGCCTGATGTTGGTGGTTCCTTACCCCAGGATTTTTGTCATCATCTTCCTGATCATCATACCCCTCTTGTGCATCTGCGGCCTGGCTAAGCACTTGTATCTCAACTGCAGAAAGTCAGAGCAGGAGGCCCCAACAGCCCCCCCGGAACAGCCCCCCATTGCTCCTGTAGAGAGGGTCACAGCACCCATTTTTGAGCCCCCACCCCCCTACAGTGAGGTGGGTATCCATCCCGACCCCTCTCTGTCCCTCAGCTGTCTGTACCTCCCTTTTCTGATTTTTAGAGCAACTGGGGCAATGAAGAGTGTCCTTACACCATGTCTCTGGGCCCTGGGGAGGGCTCTGCCACCAGCATGGGGTCACTCTTCTCCCTGGTAAACATGCCTCCACCAGCACACAGGTGGTGATGACCAGTGGCCTGACCTAAGAAGTCACTGTGTCCCCTCCTTTCCCTGCAGATAATTCTGAAGCCTGTCCTGGGTCTGCCTCCCTTGGAGCCGCCCCCACCCTACAGCTTCAGGCCTGAGGAATATGCCGGGCTACCCAGAGGCATCGACAACTCCACCTTCTGATTCACCTCCTGCCTGGAACCCTGTCATCAGCCACCTCCCCAGTGCCTCCTGGGTCAAGCCAGAGACTCTCAGGAGCCCTGGAGCGCCCTCGCCCATTCTGCCACACCTCTGGCAGTTCTTGGCTTTAAATTATTGCTTTTCTACCCTTGTTCCATGCCAGTTGCTTCTCTTGTCTCAAGGGCTGGTCTGGAGTGACATGTCCACCCCTCACCTCCCATTATAAGTTAGAGGCTGCCAGGAGGAAAATGTGAACAGTTGGAGGTGCCCAGCAGTGGAATGGGCTGCTCTGAGCAGTGGAGGAGTCTGCACCCTGGGGTACCAGCATGGGCCTGGACAACCAGCTCTGAGATGTTTGGGAGGGCACCAATGTACCCTGCAAGATGGGGCTGCTTCACCTCTTCTCCCATGAACAGAGAAGACCCCATTGTCCTCCCCCCACCCCCAACACATGTTCTCACTAAATTTCAGTTGATTGTTGCTGAGAGTCTGCCTCTGACTGTGGGGAGGTGAGCTCAGGCACTGCTGGGGTACATGGGTGTGTGTGTGTATGTGGAGGACGGGGGGCGGGTGGAGGTCACTGTGCCTGAAAAATCCCACCATTGCTGAGCCTGGAAGAACAGCACATCAGTAGGTCACCCTTTAGGAGAGAATCTTGGCAGATGCTTTGACCTCTGGTTCCTTGAGGTCTTTGGGTGCCAAAGAGTCCGGACGGGGACTAGAGGTGGGGAGTGACCACTGCGTGCTTCCTCATCCCATCCTCCTGCTGCTTTCCCTTGGGACACTTAAAACTCAGCTCTGACTCTGTCATTATGGGGGTGGGGACGGGGCAATGCGGAGGTGAGTAGGGAAGGCTGGCCATCTGTGGGGCAGGGTCTTGGAGACCTTGATCTGCTCCACCCTGGAATCTCTGGAGGGAGGAGAGGAGAGTGATCTACCCTTCTCCTCTAGTCCCGTGGGGTTCTGAGCACCGCCACCTCAGCCTCATCTGCAGGCTTAACCCCTCAGAGGAAAGGCAGTCACCACTGCAGCCTGGGAGACAGTCTTCACAGGGCGTCATTACCCCTGTGGGGGCTGGCATGGGACATGCAGTGTGAGAGACACCCCTGTGCCAGCATCTTGGGGGCGCAGGCAGGCCTGAGCTCCTCCACCAGGACCCTGCCTTGGCACTGCTCCCCGGCAGAGGGCACAGAAGCAGTGCTGGCCAGTGTTCCTGGGAGGGTTGGAGGTAGAACTGGCCCTGGTGTGCTGGTAGGGATTCCTTCTGCAGGCCTCTCCCAATAATAGCCTTTCTTGGGGCCCCAGGTCCTAGACAGGTGACAGGGCCAGGGGCAGGGAGATGGCACAGCCAGCCCCCAAGGTGCTAGGGACAGGGACTGTTCCTGCTGGAGACAGGGACCCAGAGGAAGAACAGCAGTTAGAAAGAGACAACATGGTTCTGGAGCTGGTGCTAGAGTGAGCCCAGTCACAGGAAGTCTCCCTTCCGTTTCAGGGGTGGATTGGGGGAGCAGAAGGAAGATATGTAGGTGCTTTGTGTAAACATGGGAAGCGCCCGTTAGAGAAGTCCCACATGGTTGCCCTCACTGTGGTAAACACCCGCCCCAGTGGGAGGATGTTAAGCCATGGGCTTTGCAGACCTGGAAGAGGAGGCACCTACCAGGGTGCCTGCCTTTCTTTGAAGGTGACGTAGGGGCTTTAAATCCTTCCCAGCAGCAGCAGAGTGGCCGAGAGGAAAGTGGTTATCCTGAAGCCCAGCCTGGCTGGGCTCAAGTAGCAGAAATGGTCAGTACTGTGCCTCTCTGTTTGCTGCTGGTGGGAGTGGAAATGGTGTGTTCTTCCCGGAGGGCAGTCCAGCAGTATCCATTCACTGCACAGACACTTACAAAGACCCTACTGTGTGTCTGGCACTATGCACTATGGCACTATGCCTGGTAACCATTAAAATTTAAAATGCCCTTGACCCAGCAATTCCACTTTTAGGAATGATCCTTCAGATATGATCATAGAAAAGAGCTCAGAGAGATGTCCATCAGAATTGTAGCTGGGGATTATTGAAAATACCGTTAATGTCTGCTGATAGGAGCCTGTTCAATATACCAGGTCCCTCCATACTGTGAACGCTCTGCAGCCTTTAAAAAGAATGAAGTGGATCTGAAGAACCAACCTGGCAAGATGTCTCTCATTTATTGTTACAGAGAAAAGGCAAGTTGCAGAACAATAGTCTATGACCTCAGTTTGTAAACATACACTACACCATATAATTATTATATATATTTCCCCCTTTGCAAATGTATAGAAAAGATACTGAAGGATAAGAATTAAACCACTCTGGCCACACTTTTCACAGTGGTCTGCACTGTGGGATAGAGGAGTGGAAGTAGTCAATTTTAAGGGAGGTTTTTTATTTTGTATGTTTTGTCATTGCTTACATTTTCCACAGTGAGCAAGCATGACTTTCACAAATTTTAAAAAGATCTCTTTAATGCAATATATGCTGCTGCTACCGCTGCTAAGTCGCTTCAGTCATGTCCTACTCTGTGCGATGCCATAGACAGCAGCCCCCCAGGCTCCGCCATCCCTGGGATTTTCCAGGCAAGAACACTGGAGTGGGTTGCCTTTGCTTTCTCCAATGCAATATATAGGCAACCTTAAAGGTTAATAAAGACACATCATGTGAACTTTGATAGATGGCAATTCATGTATTATTAACCCTGGTATGAGGAAGAGGCTCAAAGGATTCAGACACAGTACACACATGACATGAATGGGACCCAGGGAATAGGTGAGTGATGGACATGGGACTTGTCAGACGTGAGGACATATGATGTCTGTTTGTCACACCTATGCAGGACTGTGATGGGCACTCGGTATATGTTGGATGTCTGGCTGGTGGGTTGGGGGGATGAGCAGTTTCACAGTGATTGAGTTTAGCAGCTCAAACCTAATGAAAAATAACCGAAAGGTGGAACCACTTCGTATGTGAATGAATGATTAACTACGTGAGTGAGTGAGTGAGCAAGCAAACATGAAAGTCTGCCACAAACATTTTTCAGTGCTGGGTGCAGCCTGGTTAGCTCCAAGAAGGTGCTACTTGTGGCTGTGGACTTGCTTGTCTGTCAGCAGAGATTCCCCAGAGGACTGAGGAATGTAGGAAAGGCTGTGAGGCAGGGAGCAGGTGGGAGTTGGGAGGGGGAGCCAGGGGCTCGGCTGCTGTAGAAGCTAAGAGGAGGGCTGACACCAAGAATCCTCCCTCAGCCTAGCACTCAGAGTCAGAACTCCAGCTTCTGACATTTTAGCTTTAGCATCCAGCATCTCCAAGCCTCAGCCTTGGTTTGCACAATAAAGAGATGTACCCCTTCCCTCCTGGTAGGAGGTTGCCCTCTGACTCCCAGGTTGGGAGGGGCTGAGAAGCTAAGAGATTTGAACGTGAAAGTCACTCGGTCGTGTCTGACTCTTTGCGATCCCATGGACTGCCTAGTCCATGGAATTCTCCAGGCCAGAATAGTGGAGTGGGTAGCCTTTCCCTTCTCCAGGGGATCTTCCCAACCCAGGGATCGAACCCAGGTCTCCTGCATTGCAGGTGGATTCTTTACCAGCTGAATCACAAAAGAGTTTTCAGAGGCCCTCCTTGATTCCAACCACACCTCGGCCACAGCTTCAAATGGGCACACCTGATCTTGTCATTCCCGGTAACTTCAACCCTCCCACCTCCTGATCCTCCAGCTCAGGTACTGTATTACCCCACACCAGCGAATCTCTGAGCCCCCTGAGACCTCTGAGCCATCAGCCTTAGCCCCTTGCAGCGCCATCAGCTACGTCCTCACTGCCCTTACCCAGCCTGGAGTCCTGGATCCCTCCTTTGTCCTCTTCTGTATCCATTGCACTCACCTGGAAAAATCCCAAATCCTGACTGGATCCAGCTGTGCTCAAGAACCAGTATACCTGTGTGATTGGACTCACTTCAAAATCAAAACTACAAACCTCAATACCATAGAAGCTTTACTTCCTCTTGAGATAGCTAATTCTACTCTAATCTCCCAGGCTTGCAACCTCGGTTTCAGGTGGTGATGGCACCACAGACTTCAGAGGAAAATAATAGATGCAAGCACACAAGAACCACCCAATTCTGTCCCTGCTCCCACCACCACCTTTGATTACAGTGGAAACTGCATTCCACACCTCCAGCTGATTCCACCCTCCTCAGAGCATCTCAGGACGTTGCTCTCATAGTTACTCCTGTGTCAGCTGTTTCTCCCTCATTATTGGACCTTTATCATGATCACCTGTGCATCACTGTGTCCTATGACCCTTCTTAAAGAAACCCTCCCTTGATCATCTCATCCCTCTTGTTCTCAATTTGTCTTGCTTCAACCAGCCCTTTGTCCCCGTCATTAAACGAATGGCTCTTGTCTGTATCATCTACATCTTGCCAGAGTCAAAGGTCAATTCTTGAGCCTCAGTTACTCACTCTCTGGGCATTTGACACATTTGGCCACCTCCTCCTTGAAGAAGCTTTTTCTCTGGATTTCTCTGATGCCACCTTCCTTGGTTTTCATCCTGTTCACCTCTGCTCCTTCACTTTCCTTCTCCTCCACCAACTCTGAATGGCAGTTGGCTCAAGGTTCTGTCTTTGGGCCTCTTGTCTTCACCTTCACTCACTCTTGTTATGGGTCTCAGCCATTGCTGTGGCTTCATAGTCTTCATCTGTTGTCTGACGAATTACAAATCTTTATCTCTGACTGAGATTTCTCCTCTGAGATCTAGATTGATACATTTAACTACCTAACATCTCCACTCTCTCAGGGAAGTCTGAGCACCGAAGAATTGATCTGAACTGTGCTGCTGGAGAAGGCTCTTGAAAGTGCCTTGGAAAAAAAAAAAAAGAAAGTGCCTTGGAGAGCAAGAAGATCAAACCAGTCAATCCTAAAGGAAATCAACTCTGAATATTCACTGGAAGGACTGAGTCTGAAGCTAAAACTCCAATACTTTGGCCACCTGATGTG